GCTCTATGCAGAATATCCTTTACAGTTTCGATGTATTACGGCTGTTATTTAAGACCCCAGAACATGAGATTTTATGATCGGTTTTCCTACATTGAAGAACATATTTATAATCTCAAAGTAATGAATATTTGCAGTTCTTCTTCCTTTGGGGAGTGCACTGCTGAGAAGTCTTGCTATCCACGGTAGGCCAGTAAAAATTGGGCTCTTGTGATACTTACCGTATGGTAATTTATTTCAAATGGAAGTCGGGGAAAATGCAACAGTTCCCCCCACCCCGCTCCGCCCTGCAGAATTTTTTTAAAATTTTTATTCCAATTACCTGCAGTCGTTCTACTTGGAAGACTGTTTTAGTATATTATTCTATTACTATTTCACTGAAACGTGAATATGTGATACTAGGATGTCTGCACAGAATGTCCCAGGATAACGGATGTCATCATTACCACAACAGACTTCTATTTGCAGATGTTAGTTTTTGCTAATATTTCACACCTGGTTTGTTTCTCCACCTGTCTTCAGTTCTTCCATTCTGGTAGTTCAGTGGTTCTTAAGTATTTCTCTGGGAAGCCAGATTAATCTTTGCATTAATGCCAGGAAATATTTTTTAAATTAATTTTTATTGGAGCATAGTTGGTTTACAATGTTGTGTTAGTTTCTGCTTTACAGCAAAGTTATCAGTTATACATAATCAGTTATACATATACATATATACACTTTTTTTTAGATTCTATTCCTGTATAGGTCATTATGGAGTATTGAATAGTGTTTCCTGTGCTATACAGTTGGTTCTTATTCAGGAAATATTGATATATTAAAATACTTATATGAAAGTTTGTTACAAGTCAGATATAACTAAGAGGCTTGGGATAAGAATATTTTAGTCCAGCCTCTGTTATTATTTCCAAAGAGCACACTTGGCATGAGCTTGGCAAATGTTTAAAGAATGTGGTCATTAAAATTTTTTACTCTTGCACTTGTGTTTTGCTTTTTTTTTTTAATTTAAAAAGGCATGCTGATATGTGGCCCTAAAAATTTACTGACCTATACGCAGATGACTAAAACTAGCCTTTTTAGAAGTTACTACTAAATCGTTCAGTTTTCTTTCTGGCACTGGTGTTTGCTGGCTAAAAAGAGGTTATGGTAGAAGATCTCGGTCTTAACGTATGCTGTATCAACCTTTTCTATATCTAACAATTTTATTTTGACAATTTGTTTTAAATTACTTTTCTTTGGCAATGAAGCATAATCTAAGATAGGCACATATGAAAATTTGGGGAGAAATTTTTTTTCTTTTCTTAAGTTTGAGTTATTTTGAGAAAAATCTAGAAACATTTTCCTATAAGTTGGCAAAAGATCTGTGGCCCTCACACAAAAATAAGCCCCAAGAGTGATTATCATTGATCTTTTGATTTTTTTTTTAGTATTTTTCTAATCTCAAGGCTTCCCTTCCCTACTTTGTGTAGTTGAAACTACAGCCCTCCACACCTGGCACTGTCATTTTGTTTTATAGGCCAGTTGGATGGACATTTGTGTGTAACTAAGCAGCTGTATGAACTAGGATAAAGGTCTTTATCTCTCTCCCACCTGAAATTGGAAGGGACTTGATTAGAAGATCTGAATTTTCTTTATCTTTAAAATTCTTCTGTGCTTTAAATCATCTTCCCCTTCAAATATATATAAAATAATACATAATCTTTCAAATTTGCTTAGAAAAGTATTAAGCACCAAAATTGTGTACATTTTTAAATGTTTACAATAATTAATGATTATGATATTCTTTCTTTACTGGTTCTTAGCAGTCAGTTTTGTTTTTGTGTATATTTTCCTTCTGAAATAACATCTCTGTGTCATTAAAGTGTTCGATTATTCATTACTTCACAGAGTTTATGAATTTCACTGAAGGAAAACCACAAAATAAGTCTAATTTTCTTTCTACTTCTTTTGTAAGTATAGAAATGTATTCCCACTCAAAAACTTTCCCCAGACACTACACTTGGGAAAAATGGTGACCAACTCCATGGTTCAAAGCATGTTATATATATTAACAAGTAGTGCCATTGAGTTTATTTTACAGCCTCTCCCAGGATAGTTTTCTCTCTCATCCTGTATCTTAATTCCTCCAGACTCATGTCAAACATTAGGAATTTCTCCCCTGCCAAGAAGATACTTTTTAAATTCCTTAATCTTAAAGACCACACCCCCCTTGATTAGTTTCATTATATTAAAATCTGATTTTTATCAAATCACTAATCTTACACTAGACATACTTTAAGGTGTTAAGTTATATAGAACAAGTTTTTTAACACTATCTGTGATTCTGTGCATTCAGAATTATATTTTTTTAAGTAAAAACATGTTTTACAAAATCAGAAGGAAGCATTTTAGTAGTAGATCAAAACAAGTTTTTTAACTTAGAAAATCACAGTAGGTTAACTTTTCCCCTGTAATTTCTATTATTAAAAATTAGGGTAAAGTTTGTTAAAATTTTTACTTCATGATCCCAATAAGTGATGCACTATTTCAGCAAAGAGTTTTCAGATAGAAATTGCCACTTGGTCTGTTTTATCAAAGAAGAAAGTAGCCCTTCCTAAACTAATGAAAAATGAATCTTTGCAGCAACAACGAATCTTCAAATAAGAATAGTGATGGTTTCTACTTCTGTTACCTTTTACCTAAACCTTAAAAGCGATAGGCAGAGGAATGAATTTCTTCACATAGACATAAAACCCAAGATTAGTTTTAATTACAAAGAAAGAATTGTCTTCCTTTCTTTGCCATGGCTCTAGACAAGCAGTTTCTTTTTCCATTGTTAGCATTGTGGTAAATATTTTAGTAAATGAGTCAATATTGCTGTAGAATCCAGTTCTGAATATTAAGTTGCAGGTACTTCACAAATAGAGAGGATTAGATTTAGGTCATATGCTACTGTCCACCTTCCCTACAGTACAGGAATGATTTGACAAGACTAAGACTTCAGGCCATCCATTGCTAGCTAAATGAATGTAAATCATGCTTTGTACAACTCACTATCATATGTTCTGAATATATCCAGAAAACACCGAGAGACATTATAAGTGCTTTGTCTTACAGCAGTTTGTTGGCTCAACTGAATAAATGTTTCTAAGGATCCCTTTATCACAAATTTGGCTTTACAACTCTGACTTTCAAATATCTTTGATTTCTCTCTTCACTTGTGATGATCTTTTAAATAAGGATCTTTGGCCATAGTCCAGGAGTCTGTGTAGTAATCTAAGAAAATGTTAACAAAAGCTAGTTCAAACATGTTAAAACAGTTAAGAGCACATAGAATATGGAATCAGTCTGCTAGGGTTCATGTCTGGGCTGTGCTACTTACTGGCTATATTACCTTGGACAAATTATTTAAGCCCTGGACTTCAGTTTCCTTTTCAGTGAGATGGGTACAATGCTTGCTTCGAGCATCAATCAGACAAAAAATGTAAAGAACTTAATTTGGTAGTGTCATATAGCTAATACAGCTAGTATTTACTGCTCTGTTTTGTTTTGTTTTATTGTCTTGGGAAAACATCTCCTAATTTGTGTTTGTGTTTAAGATAACATCAGTTTCAAGTAGTACTGGTTTTATTATAGTTAGGAATTGTTTTTGTTAAACTGAGCAAAGAGCAGAGGTATGTAATAAGGGTGGTTCTTTCCTTGCCAGGGATAGCCAAATAGCATAGTGGGTTTACAATGCTGTAAGAAAAGAAAAGAGAGAATTGAATTGTCAGAGAACACCTCTCATAGACTTTGAAAACTTCTGCCTTAGTAGTTAGTGACATATTTGCTATCACAAAGCAGAGATTTCTTTTTAGTTAAATAATATCAGTTATATTAATTGAAATGTTCATTTGAATTACATTGGTTCATTTTGATTTGTGAATTTGTTTGGTTTTATACTGTAGAACGCTTTAAAGATAGTTTCGTTGATATATACCATGAATCTGCAAACTATACCTTTGGGCTGGCCCACTCCAAACTTTATTTTTGTAAAGCTATTTGTTTTCTCAGAATACAACCATGCTTATTCATTTACATATTGCCTGTGCACTTCCTACAGTGCAGAATTGAGTAGTTTCAGTAAAGACCATATGTTATCCAAATATGAAAACTGCTACATTATATTATGTTCAGGTGTCCCATCCAACAGAATTGAGAGTATGTTTATAAAGTGCTGTAAATTCTCATATATAGGTGGTAATTGTTAGTAGGAGTAATAAGTATTCAGTGATGATGTATCCATGAACATTGACACCTCTTACTGCTTTTTAATCTGTATTATAACTTCAATCTATTGCATTACTACTTTTTTCTTTTTACTCCAAACTTTATTTTTGTTCCTTATTTTATGTTACATTGTAACACCAGGATAAAGTTTGTCATCTTCATTTTGTTATTAAAAAATATGTAGAATCTTCCCTGCCTTTGCAAGTATGTTTAAAAATCCTGTTGAAGTGATGAATTAGTTTAACCTGGGACTGTAAGTTAGTATAGTTCAGTTTAATCAGCTAAAGTACTGTACATTTTTTTGTTCTATTTCTAGCCTACAACTGGAGTTTTGTATAAAGAAGATAATTATGTCATCATGACAACTACACATAAAGAAAAATATAAATGCATTCTTCCCCTTGTGACAAGTGGTGATGAGGTAAGTTTTTATAAATACATTGATTATCCCTGTCACCAAAGATATTTATTTAAAACATTGCAACTCCATACCTTAAAATAAAATTGAGTGACAGGTTTCTCAATTATCCTGTCTTACTAAAAATATAGTAATCACTTTGTTATTGAAGTATAGTGGTTTACAATGTTAGTAATCCTTATTATTCCTGAATTCTTTGATTTTTACAGTTCAACTTGGAAAAACTAGCAACCAGTTATTAATGTTTTAGATGAAAATCTAACTCCACAGATGCTTTCTTTTATAGAAATGAAGGTTTTGAAACAAGATAAAATTTTAAATGTGTATGTGACATTTTTTATAAAGAATTGCTAATAAGTAAATCTGTAGTTACCTTGTGCTTTCTCACTACCTTAGCTCATGCCCGTTTCTTCCACCTAAAATGCCCTAACTGCCTCTTATCCATCCTTCAAGGCAATTCTTTCAAGATGAAACACGAGAGGCAGCATGGTAAAATGGAAAGGACACCAGCCTAGGAGCCAGGAGGCTGAGGTATAGGCTATAGTTAGCTGTGGAATCTTGAACAAATTTGAAACTCAGTTCCTCCACTCAATAAGTTTATTGGGCTAATTACATAATATTTTCACAATCTGTAAAATGGAAGTATTAAACTCAGTGAGTTTAGGTTTCTTAGGTTTTGTTCAGACTTAAAATCTGTGAAAGACAGCTATCTCATTTTGTTTTAAACCACCTTAAGACACAAATACACACATATGCAATTACACACGTATTTATGGCATTCAAGTCTGAAACGTAAAAATATATGGAAAACTGAGAAGTATATTAAAACTTTCCAGTGTATTCTATAAGATTCAACTATTCTGAGGCTTTCATAGATAGAATTTGTTTGGATACAAGCATTTAATAATTCTGAAGTAGGTTTATAAGAATTGTTCAGGAAACTGATACTTAACCTTTTTCTAAGAGAAGAAAGAATGGAATATTATTGTATGGATCCATATTTTATACTTCAATTCTTTTTCTTTTTTTTTTTTTTGATTATAGTTGATTTACAATGTTACGTTAGTTTCAGGTGTACAGCAAAGTGAATCAGTTATACATATACATATATCTACTCTTTTTCAGATTCCTTTCCCATATAGGTCATTACAGAGTATTGAGTAGAGTTCCCTATGCTATATAGTAGGTCCTTATTAGTTATCTATTTTGTATATAGTAATGTGTATATGTCAATTCCAATCCCCCAGTTTATCCCTCACCCCACCCCTTTCCTCCTGGTAGCCATAAATTTATTTTCTACATATGTGACTATTTTGTTTTGTAAAGAAGTTTATGTGTACCATTTTTTTTTTTAGATTCCGCATATAAGTGATATTATATGTTAGTTGTCTTTCTCTGTCTTACTTCATTCAGTATGAAAATCTCTAGGTCCATCCATGTTGCTGCATATACTTCAATTCTTTTGAAAGAAGTGGCATGCCATAGGATCTTATTAAAGGTTTTGACTTTTTTCCCCCTTTTATTTCCAAGCATTTGTGGTTTGACCAATGAGTTAATACCTAAACAGCAGAGTTGGGTGAAGTTCCAGACTAATTGAATTAAACTCTAATTCTTTCATAGGAAGAAGAAAAGGATTATAAAGGCCCAAATCCAAGAGAGCTATTGGAGCCCCTATTTAAACAGAGCAGTTGTTCCTACAGAGTATGTATTTTATGTTCACTTGATAACTAGAAAATAAATTTCCAGCAGCCAATAGGCCCTTGAAAATAATTCTGTTTCTTTTTACTTTATTATGTTGTATCACATTTTAAGTTAGTTGTAAAACTAAACTGTTGCTTAATAGTATTTTGTTCATTTAAATTCCTGTATAGTATATGCAGCAAACACCCAATAATATCAATTATCAAATAATATCACCAAACTGCTTTGAATGTTTTTCAGATCAAAAGAAAGTTTCTTTATATACAATCTTAATAAAAACTGCTCATGGTTATTTTTTTAGGCTGTGTAAAAAATGATCCCTTGGCCAGGTGTTTATTATAGACCCCAGGTATATTTAGACCTATTTCATTCATAGAATTTTCACATTTAGCTAATTAGTGAAAACAATGAATAGTAATTTCATATTTTCTGAGGCATAATAATAACTTTCATTTAATGAAAGCTTGCTGTAAATCTTCAGAGAAATCTTCAGTTGCTTAAAATATCAAAAAGGAATTCAGCTGAGTTGTGTGGCTTTTGTACATAAATACATCCATCTGTCTTAGATTGAGTCTTATTGGACTTACGAAGTATGTCACGGAAAACACATTCGGCAGTACCATGAAGAGAAAGAAAGTGGTCAGGTATTTTTTTCTTCAAAATATGAAATGTGGAACATTATAAAATGAAAACTTTAATAATGAGGTGGATGGTTTTAAACTGTATTCTTTAAAAATGTATTTGCCAAATACTTACTACATTTTTATTTTATTTTTAAATATAGAAAGTAAATATTCACGAGTACTACCTTGGGAATATGTTGGCTAAGAACCTTCTATCCGAAAAAGGTTTGTTTCTACAGAGTGATTTAGTAGTAATGCTGGTATTTGGTTTAAAGTATATGTTCAATTTGGAATTTAAAAGATTTTGTTGGAGACTGTATGAATTTTAAAACACTAAAATAAACTTCTGAACTATCCCATAGAAAACTTTTTCAAAGAGATCTTTTCATTATTTTCTGTTTTAGCAAACAATATGTTTTTTTTCTACCTATTAATAAAATTTTTAAATCTGGTGAGGCATACATATCAGTGTTATATTTATATAGTGTTAGTCTTTTGCTTGGTTTAAGCAACTTTTTATATATGGAAATAGACATGTAGATGTATCCCTCAAATTATGAAATACTTTTATTCATCTATATTATTCAAATTGGTCAACTCATTTAAGATTAAACCTTTCACTGAGATAAAAACACTTCAGAAGAAAACTGTCATGGCCAGTTCTTATGCCTCAAATAGAATATTTCCTAAATAAAGATGTAATGATTAAATATGACTGTTCTTTCAAAAGAAACCATTTCAAGGAATCTAGCTAAAAGTATGTATATGTTTTGGGTCTTATTTTAATTTTAATTTAATTTAATTTATTTATTTATTGGCTGTGTTGGGTCTTTGTTGCTGTGCGCAGACTTTTCTCTAGTTGCGGTGAGTGGGGGCTACTCTTCATTGCGGGGTGCAAGCTTCTCATTGCGGTGGCTTCTCTTGTTGTGGAGCATGGGCCCTAGGCGCGTGGGCTCTAGAGCATAGGCTCAGTAGTTGTGGCGCACGAGCTTAGTTGCTCCACAGCATGTGGGATCTTCCCAGACCAGGGACCAGACCCATGTCCCCTGCACTGGCAGGTGGATTCTTAACCACTGCACCACCAGGGAAGTCTAGGTCTTTAGAAAGAAGTTTAAGATTACAAAGTTGATGAAAACTTAGTCATTTATATCTTGTATATAAGTCACTGGTCATTATTTAACTTACTTTTGTATTAATCCACAGAACAAGAAGCGGAAGAAAAGGAAAAATCAAAAGAGGCAAGTGATAATTGGTGATTTTCAGTCTTAACATCTATTGTTAGACATGAATTTATACAACTTAATTGACAGAATATAGCCATGTGTTTAACTATCAACTACCTCAAAGGATTTAGTCAAAGAAAATTGGCAATATGTTAGATTTTTATGAGAAAAGTTATGCTATAATACTTTAATTTACTTTAAGATCATATAAAAATAAATGAATTTATCAAAGATGTGTCTGGGAAAGTTTCTATAATAGCATTATATCACTTCTGTGCTTCGCAGTGGTTCTTTCCCTCTGTTCAACACTGGAGCTTTTGCATTTTTTCTGTTGTTTGGACCCTATTTCCTATGGGTAAAACAGATAAATCATAAATGTAAATAACAAGCTACCAGACTGCAAGCATCTTAAAAGCAGGGACTGTCTTTTTCTCTTTACCCCACAGTGCAAAGCAGAGTGCCAGACATAATGTAGGCCCTTAATGAATGCTTATTGAATGTGAATGCATAATTGATGACCGAAAAATAGGATTGTTTAAAAAGAACGATTCCTTAGGGTGACCAGTTACAGTTTTTAAATGCCCCTGTGGTTCAAGGAATGCTTTATGAATCCTAAGAATTTCCATAAAGTTAAATAACTTATTGGTAGAGGATATTTCTATAAATGGTTTCATACCATAATGATTCTTTTATTAGAAGTAAAGTTAAACGGCAAAAGGCCTTAAAGATTACTTAAAAGGGATGCCCATAACTTATAAGGGTGGCTTTGGGAGAGTTGGTAAGCTATGCATAGACACACACAGCATTGCTATTTTAAAAGGTTTTAATTTTACAGACTACCTTTGAGATAAAATATTTATCTCAAAATATTTTTGGCTCTGGAGGATAGCAAGATGGAATTCAAAGTGTGAAATGATCAAGGAAGAGGAAGAAAAGGGTAAGGGAAGAAAACTAACATTTATTGAGCCCCAATTCATAAGCCAGATGCTGTGCCAGGCATGTAACAAAGGGTAATGCTTAATTCTCCCTACAGCCTTTGAGTATATATTATTATTCTACTTTTATGAATGACAAAAACTGAAATTTGGTCAAAGTCATAAGGCTAGTGAATGCAAAGCTTGGATTTTAACCCAGGATTTTCTAATTCTAGACACTAGGATGAAACTAGCATACAAGAAATCTCAAAATATTTTCCCCTGGAAACATTTATTTATTGCCTGTTTTGGGTACCAGAGTGATACAAGATGAGCTCCCTGCCTCCAAAGAGCTTGCTTGGAGATGATATTAACAGTATCTTTTAAAGCCCTTCCATTTAATTCTTCTTGTGTTTATGTCGATAAAAGTATGGGAGCTAACTCAATAATCCTTGTTTTCTGGGGTGATCTCCTTTATTCCCCCATTCCGTGAAAATTTCTTCATCTGTCTTTTGCTGGCCATGAGTGGATTTATACAGGAGTTTATATGCTGAGAAGTATGTCTGTTAATAACAGGGAAGAAGAGTAAGCAGATCAATGAACCAGCACAATATTTAGATTCCTGTTTTAGAACATAGTGTTAACGCTGTAGCCCTAATTTTTTTTTTTTTTTTTTTTTTTTTTTTTTTTTGCGGTACGTGGGCCTCTCACTGTTGTGGCCTCTCCTGTTGCGGAGCACAGGCTCCAGACGCGCAGGCTCAGCGGCCATGGCTCACGGGCCTACCCGCTCCGCGGCATGTGGGATCTTCCCGGACCGGGGCACGAACCCGTGTCCCCTGCATCGGCAGGCGGACTCTCAACCACTGCGCCACCAGGGAAGCCCGTAGCCCTACTTTTTGACAAATCAAACTTCAAATCTCTAGAATCGAAATTCTAACATAGGCATTCACTTGAGAGTTTAGTGAAGAAAGCTCTGACCAGCCCAAGTATAGTAAGTTTCTATATTTTATCTTAGTCACTTTATTTAGAACTTTTGAAAATAATTCATATTAATTATGTTATTATAACCTTTTTTATACATCTTAATTTTAGCACCAAATAAAAATTTTCTTTTATTCTGTATTAAATTAGCTCTGAAAATATGTATTTGCTCAAATAAGAATATGAATGAAAAGAATAGTAGAGGGAGAGCTTATAGAAAGTACAGAAATGTTACCTTTATAAATGTTAGTTTATGAATAAAATGTAGTTTTCTTCCTTTCAGAATAAGTGCTTCTCCATCCTCACCCCACCTCTATTTCTAATGAAAAGTCTGTCTTATACTCTTTTTTTAAGATTCCCACTAAAAATATCGAAGGTCAGATGACACCCTACTATCCAGTGGGAATGGGAAATGGTACACCTTGTAGTTTGAAACAGAACCGGCCCAGATCAAGTACTGTGATGTACATATGTCATCCTGAATCTAAGCATGAAATTCTTTCAGTAGCTGAAGTTACAACTTGTGAATATGAAGTTGTCATTTTGACACCACTCTTGTGCAGTCATCCTAAATATAGGTAGGATGTGGATTTAATATTTTAAACATGAAATGCACACATGCTTTAAAGTGTCATTTGCTTAGGTTTAATGCTTTGTTCTCACTGAATAGATTCAGAGCATCTCCTGTGAATGACATATTTTGCCAGTCACTACCAGGATCACCATTTAAACCCCTCACCCTGAGACAGTTGGAACAGCAGGAAGAAATACTGAGGGTGCCTTTTAGGAGAAATAAAGAGGTATGAGAATTATCTAACAGTATTTTTTTCAGTGCTTCCTTTTCCAAATTTCAGAGCATATATCAGTATTTTAATGATTTCTGTAGTACAGTAGTAGTCATTTATTTTCCTGACTCAAAATTGTCAATTCCAATTCTTTTGATTTTAATTCTTTTCCTTATTCTAATACTTCCCAGAAACTATTTTAGCATTCTCTTACACTCATGATTCCATAATTTTCTTTTTTATTAATTTGGCTGCATTGGGTCTTAGTTGCAGCACACGGGATCTTCATTACGGCTTGCAGGATCTTTCGTTGCAGAGCATAGGCTTCTCTCTAGTTGTGGCACATGGGCTCCAGAGCGCACGGGCTCAATAGTTGCGGTGCATGGGCTCAGTATTTTGGCATTCAGGCTTTGTTATCCCATGGCATGTGGGATCTTAGTTCCCCAACTAGGGATTGAACCCATGTCCCCTGCATTGGAAGGCAGATTCTTAACCACTGGACCGCCAAGAAAGTCCCCCGTGATTCCATAGTATTTTAAAGTTTGCCATCCTGTTCATTTCAGTTAAGTTTAATTTTTAGCTAGTTAACTGGACTTACCAGCTAAGCCTCTTGAAAAAATAGACTGCAGCCCATCTCCTAATGCTTTATTTATTCTTCAGCTCATTGCTATTTATTATCAAACCATATTTCTATCATTCTTCTTAAACTGTTCTTATTAAGGTCAACAGCAATCTTTTGCTTCTAAATTTTTTTTTTTTTTTTTTTTTTTGAAGTACGCGGGCCTCTCACCGTTGTGGCCTCTCCCATTGCGGAGCACAGGCTCAGCGGCCATGGCTCACGGGCCCAGCCGCTCCGCGGCATGTGGGATCCTCCCAGACCGGGGCACGAACCCGTGTGCCCTGCATCGGCAAGCGGGCTCTCAACCACTGCGCCACCAGGGAAGCCCTTGCTTCTAAATTTGCTGAACATATGCGTAACTTGATCTTAGCTGAGCATTGGAAGCTTGAACTTTTTCTCCTTTCTTTACTACAGGTCATTATCTCTGGTTCTCTCTGGTTCTGATCACTTGTGTACTAGCTCTTTCTCTGATTCCTGCTCCTTAAAATGTTGAACTTCCCCTGGTTCTGTCCATGGCTGCTTTCTCTCCTTATTGTACAGTCTCCTTAAGTAAGCTCATCCATGAGTTATAAATACACATCTGCAACACTGATCTTTCTCTTGAACTCAAATCACAATCAAATAATTAACATGTATTGAGTCTTTACAACTATTATCTAATCCTTACAATAGCATATAAGATTTACTATTATCCACCTTAACAGGTTAAGGAACTGAGGTTCAGAGAGGGGAAGTGACAAGTGATGGGTTAGAAATTAGAATCAAAGTAGTCTGATTCTAGAACCTGTCCTCTTAACCACCTCTCTCTGCTGCTTCTCCCTTTTGATATGCTATCTTCCCTTTTCATCTGCGTATTGGACATATATACATTTTCAGTAATCTCAAACTTAACCATTTTTTTCTCTTTCACACTGACCCTTTTGTAGTCTTCCCCATTGCTTTTAAAGCAGTGTTCTCTACCCAGTTGTCCAAGTCAGAAACGTGAGTCATTTTTCTTACCCATCTCTTAATTGATCTCTAACTCTAATCATTTACTCAGTGCTATCAGTGTTATCCACTGGCTGCTTTTCAACTCTGTCCTGTCATTAGTTCAGGACCCCATCATTTTCTAAGACCAGAAACTAATGTCCTCATGCATCGTCTTTCTCATTCCTCCCACACAGCTGATAAAATGTTCTTTCTGAAATGAACATTTGATTATTTATTTAATCTTTTGGTAGTTAACATGATCTATACCTCAGGATAAAATCATTGCTCATACAATGATATTATCAAAGGAGAGTCAAGACCATTTGTGGGGACTTCCCTGGCGGTCCAGTGGTCAAGAATCCGTGCTGCCAATGCAGGGGGCACAAGTTCAATCCCTGGTCAGGGAAGTAAGGTCTCACATGCCATGTGGCATGGCCAAAAGATTAAAAAAAAAAAAGACCATTTGTGATCTGGCTTCAGCTTCATCTCTCATCACCATTCCCTTGATCCCAGCTATTTTGAACAACTTAAGAGTTTCCGAAAAGTACCACATTCTTTCCAACCTCCTTGCCTTTGAATATACTGTTTTGCCTCTTCCTCTGTTGTCTTCTCCCCTCCCTCCCTATATCTGATGAACTAATAAAAGGTCAACACGTGTATGCTTGAAGATATGCTTCCAGTGTCACTTCCTTTGCAAATGAGCCATGACTTCTAATGGATTACCCATGGAAGAGATCAGTGTTTCCTCTTCTGTGGTCCTGTATTTTATTCAGTCCTCCATTATAGCACTTTTATGGCTAAAATTTGTTCTTTTTCCTATGGTTCTTCATTTAAATGGAGGGAAAATAAACTATGCTTTTGTTACTTGGGGTTTCCAGCTCCTTGCATGATACCTAGTATGCTGTTAGTACTTTACAGTGGGTTAATTAACATTTAACTGCAAAGCCTTTTTCTCCCCTTCCTCTTGGATACTTACTGAGAAAGTATTGCCAGACTCTTTGTTGATGTTGTGAACCCTGCCATTCTGAGAGGAGGAAAAATTTATCTTAAACTTAATCTGCATTTTATTTGAAGTGATGTACTGAAAGATTAGAGATGGAATTCAGTTCTCATCTCCTTCTTGATAGTAGTTTAAGTACTGACAGGTACTTAAAGTCAGCTTGATCAATATGATTCACAAGTCCAACTTTAACTATTCTTCAAGGTAGAAGTACCAGCTCATTTTTCTTTAATTAATGTGTTTAATCTGCAAGTTGAGAAAAATTATTTTTAAAAAGCTACATATGGAGCACTACCCACCACCAGTCCCTCCCATCAGGAAACTTGCACAAGCCTCATAGATAGCCACATCCACCAGAGGGCAAACAGCAGAAGCAAGAAGAACTACAATCCTGCAGCTGGTGGAACGAAAACCACATTCACAGAAAGAGAGACAAGATGAAAAGGCAGAGGGCTATGTACCAGATGAAGGAACAAGATAAAGCCCCAGAAAAACAACTAAATGAAGTGGAGATAGGAAACCTTCCAGAAAAAGAATTCAGAATAATGATAGTGAAGATGATCCAGGACCTCAGAAAAAGAATGGAGGCAAAGATCAAGAAGCTGCAAGAACTGTTTAACAAAGACCTAGAAGAATTAAAGAACAAACAGAAATGAACAATACAATAACTGAAATGAAAACTACACTAGAAGGAATCAATAGCAGAATAACTGAGGCAGAAGAACGGATAAGTGACCTGGAAGACAGAATGGTGGAATTCACTGCTGCAGAACAGAGAAAACAAAAAAGAATGAAGACAGCCTAACAGACCTCTGGGACAACATTAAACGCAACAACATTCGCATTATAGGGGTCCCAGAAGGAGAAGAGAGAGAGAAAGGACCAGAGAAAATATTTGAAGAGATGATACTTAAAAACTTCCCTAACATGGGAAAGGAAATAGCCACCCAAGTCCAGGAAGCACAGGGAGTCCCATACAGGATAAACCCAAGGAGAAACACGCCAAGACACATAGTAATCAAATTGGCAAAAATTAAAGACAAAGAAAAATTACTGAAAGCAGCAAGGGAAAAATGACAAATAACATATAAGGGAACTCCCGTAAGGTTAGCAGCTGATTTCTCAGCAGAAACTCTACAAGCCAGAAGGGAGTGGCATGATATACTTAAAGTGATCAAAGGGAAGAAACTACAACCAAGATTACTCTACCTGGCAAGGATCTCATTCAGGTTCAGTGGAGGAATCAAAAGCTTTACAGACAAGCAAAAGCTAAGAGAATTCAGCACCACCAAACCAGCTTCACAACAAATGCTAAAGGAACTTCTCTAAGTGGGAAACACAAGAGAAGAAAAGGACCTACAAAAACAAACCCAAAACAATTAAGAAAATGGTCATAGGAACATCGATATCGATAATTACCTTAAACGTGAATGGATTAAATGCTCCAACCAAAAGACACAGGCTCACTGAATGGATACAAAAAGAAGACCCATATATATGCTGTCTACAAGGGACCCACTTCAGACCTAGGGACACATACAGACTGAAAGTGAGGGGATGGAAAAAGATACTCCATGCAAATGGAAATCAGAAGAAAGCTAGAGCAGCAATACTCATATCACATAAAATAGATTTTAAAATAAAGAACGTTACAAGAGACAAGGACACTACATAATGATCAAGGGATCAATCCAAGAAAAAGATATAACAATTCTAAATATATATGCACCCAACATAGGAACACCACAATACATAGGGCATCTGCTAACAGCTATAAAAGAGGAAATCAACAGTAACACAATAATAGTGGGGGACTTTAACACCTAACACCAATGGAAAGATCATCCAAAATGAAAATAAATAAGGAAACAGAAGCTTTAAATGACACAATAGGCCAGATAGATTTAATTGATATTTATAGGACATTCCATCGAAAAACAGCAGATTACACTTTCTTCTCAAGTGCGCACAGAACATTCTCCAGGATAGATCACATCTTGGGTCACAAATCAAGCCTCAGTAAATTTAAGAAAATTGAAATCATATCAAGAATGTTTTCTGACCACAACGCTATGAGATTACAAATGAATTACAGGGAAAAAAACGTAAAAAAAACACAGACACATGGAGGCTAAGCAATACGTTACTAAATAACCAAGAGATCACTGAAGAAATCAAAGAGGAAGTCAGAAAATTCCTAGAGAAAAATGACACAAAACACGACGATACAAAACCTATGGGATGCAGCAAAAGCAGTTCTAAGAGGGAAGTTTATAGCTATACAAGCCTACCTCAAGAAACAAGAAAAACCTCAAAAAAGTCTAACGTTACACCTAAAGGAACTAGAGAAAGAAGAACAAACAAAACCCAAAGTAAGCAGAAGGAAAGAAATCATAAAGATCAGAGCAGAAATAAATGAAATAGAAA